GTGACTTCTTCCAGTGGCATTAAAACGGAACAATTACCAAATAGCTTATAATATGGTACTTAGCTTCTTTCCCTCCATCCCCTCTGGACACATAAATAATCCCTATTGACTCTACAGAGTCATTCATCACCAACCTTCCCCAGGACACCTCGGCTGATTTAATGCCAGCTTCACTTGCAGACATCAAGTGGCTTATTGTTTGCAGAGAAAGATGTCTGCCCAACTGGGAAAATGCCTGGGAGACACGCCATAGTTTTGCATCAATCTCCCTTACTGACATCCAGCACTTTCTCATTTTTCTTCCTTAAAGATATCCATTGATTCAAGCTGGGGTTACCTCCTCCCCTTCCACAGCAAGACCCACACAGTATTCCCATCACTCTTTAGCTAACTCTCTCCAGAAAGGAAAGAGCAACTAGTTTACTGCTTCACTCCTGGGCAGGCATTCTTAGGTCTTGCTCAGCTTTATCCCACTGCCAGTGTACCATGAAGTTATTCAAGTATGCTACATTTTCCTACCAATAAGCTGTCATTCCCACCCAGAAATCTCTCATCTTTGATGAAGACCATTTGTCTTTTCCAAAAGGATTGCAGTTCTTGTGACAGAGACTGGGAATGGCAGCCCTGAAGGCCACAATTTCTGTTTACACACAGACTAGGCATATCAGCACTGAACTCCTCCTCTACATATACATTAGCAAATGCCCCACTGAACCTCAGGCTCCATGGCCCATCCGAAACTTCCATAAAGGCTGATACATTACGGCTACGTCTACACTGGCCCCTTTTCCGGAAGGGGCATGTAAATTTCACTAGTCGTCGTAGGGAAATCCGCGGGGGATTTAAATATCCCCCGCGGCATTTAAATAAAAATGTCCGCCGCTTTTTTCCGGCTTTTAAAAAAGCCGGAAAAGAGCGTCTAGACTGGCCCCGATCCTCCGGATACTTTGAAGTAGGAATAAGAGCCTCCGGAAAAGGGCGCTTTTTCCGGAGGATCGGGGCCAGTCTAGACGCTCTTTTCCGGCTTTTTTAAAAGCCGGAAAAAAGCGGCGGACATTTTTATTTAAATGCCGCGGGGGATATTTAAATCCCCCGCGGATTTCCCTACGACGACTAGTGAAATTTACATGCCCCTTCCGGAAAAGGGGCCAGTGTAGACGTAGCCTACATGTTTTGGGAGTGTGGATATTAGCCTTAAAGACAATGGATTAACACCTCTCCCCAGCCCCACAACCAATGTTCCCTCTAACTTCTTCCGTCCATTTGCAGAATACGTTTTGTTATGTGCACCAAGGCATGTGAAATTGTGCACCACAAGTAGAAACACAAAACCTAGCTGTGAATGCTCTGCTAATCAGCTGACCGGCATCTGAATCTCTCTTGAGTGGCCGCGCAAATGCACGGCTTATAGGGAATGCGGCCCACAGCATACTTCATACAGCCACCATGCAGCCATTTGATAATAGTGCCTCCTATTCATTGCTACACTGGGCTGGATTTGATCTGGTGGCCACATCCCATTATTGATCCCCCAAGCAATCCCTAGAATACACTGGTATAAGCTAAAGTGATACAACACTGGTATAAGTGTCCACACATACAGCTGCACTGGTTCAATATCATATCTTGCATTAAGTCAGTGCAACTCCTGTGTGCCGACGAACCTTTCCAATTACATGGAGAGAAAGTGCTAAATGTTTTCACTGCACTTTGCTTACAGACAAACTTCACTGGGCTCCAATGAACTGTGTCCAGACAGAGGTTAATTACTTCATCCCAGGAAGATGGTCACTCCACCTGTTCCCTGCTTAAGAGCTGAAGAGAGATGCTGCCATTACTCCTGGGTGATTTGGTTGCCATGGCAGAGGGTCAGGGCTAGGAGTGCTGTGTGGGCAGTGGTTCCATACCCAGTCCCCTTGATATCTCAAGGGGTTGCAGACAAGTGCCGAGAAGGCAGTGAGTACCATGTGGCAGACTGGTGTGATACTCAACCCCTTGGAAGGTGCATTGCATAGCCATAGCTGGGACAGCTGATGTGTGCTCACAGAACACAGGCTGCAGGGCTAAAAATTGCAAAGGGTAGACATTTGGGTTGAGTTGGAACTTACACCCTTAGAATCACTCCCTTCCTTGGCCCACTTGCATGCAATAGTCCCAATGTAACAGTCTTTGCCAGGCCCTCAGCAAGCCAGTTGTAGAGTGGCCCACAAGTACAAGCTTTCAGTACAATACTTACTGTAAATAACGGTTTTCATACAAACTGCCCATGTCCACACTGATTTACAGAGATAAGCAATATAAGTCCTCTAACTACACAGGGAAAACACTACATGGAACTGTGAAAAGCCACCATATTAAATCAGGAAATCCTAATGCCAGGAACAGACACAGAGAGAAGAGGTATAGACAAAGGAGAGCAGAGGAATTTTCAGCTGAGAACTGAAAAGAGATGCAGAGTTGCTGTTCCAGGCCACAGAAATCCTATCACAGACCTCTGGGGATATAAGGAATATCATGAGGGAGGCTGATATTTGATGGTGCGTGTCAGAAACACCACAAAAGAAGCTAGTTTTGGACCTTCTGGGAGCCAGAACACATCACAGAAAGTGGGTCCCATGACCTGGCTCAAACAGGATGCACCGGAAGTACTGTGAGGAACTGACATTGTGAAACATTCAGACCAGAGTTTTGGATGTTTATCTGAGCCCTCTGCAGTTGGCTTATAGCTGAGTGACATGGACTGGGGCTTAGATCTAGACTCATTAGGCTCCACAACATGAAGAATGCTGCACCCGCCACACTGGAGAAAGCTCCAAAATTACAGCAAAGGTAAATGGCTGAAGAAAACAAATCCAGAAACCCTTTCCACAAGGAAGAGGATGAGGAGGAAGGTTGCCCCTAAAGACATTTATCAACCAATTTCCATGTCAACACAAATGACCCAGCATTCTAATTTTCATCCCCTTTAATTTAGCCCAATTAATTCCTTCTGCCACAGCCTTGTTAAATATGAGAGAGAGGACTATTTCTCATTCCAGCTAGGATTTGGCTTGCTGGGCCCTATGAAATATGAGCTCTGCCTGACCCTTTCGAACAGTGTTAGTAAAACAAAATCATTCGAGTAGTGGAAAAAACCCTCATACAGCTCTTTTACTTTAAAGGAGACGACAGTTTAGTGTAAACAAAGGAGGAATAAACTACAGGGATGTATGCACAGTTACAGCCAATTGGAAACAGCTGTTGGAAAGTAATGCAGCAATCTGAGAATTGGATCTGCAACTCTGGATTTTAGGGTTTCACAAATGCACTCTTATTGTGTGGGCATGTGTGTGCATAAGATGCATTGCAAAGAGGTCAGGGAAAGCAACATGCCCATGAATGTCAAGCCCCTTCCATGATTGGAGCATTTCACCTTCAAAGGCTTGGTGGAGGTCAGAAGGGAAGGAGAAAAGGGAAGGAAGGAAGCAGCAAAAGCACGATAAAATCCCTTTTAATTATTGTTTGCAACCAACCCAAAAAAGTTGCACACTGCACTTAGAAGTAAATCTGTCTATAGTCCATGGAGCATGGAGGCATGAATTTAAATGAAGCTTTTGCCCAAGGATTTCTGCTTCTTTTGTCTTAGATGGGTATTGTGAGGTTGAGAGGGAATTATGGAGCTGTGAATTCTAAATAAAATAATTATGGGCCAAAGTGTTATGCCCCTACTCAGCCTTTACTCAGGGAAAGCTCCCATTGTCCATGATAAAGTTTTAATTTTCTAGGCTATTTAATGCACATAAAAATGCTGGGTAGATAGCCTTGGAGATGCGTGTTTCCTAGTTGCACAGATGATACTTTAAGTCCCCCCATTACTTCACCACTAATTAGGCTCAAATCTGGTCTCCCCAAAGAAAGAAAGGAGACTTCATTTTCCATGATTCATTCAGTCTGTGACCCCTCTACTAAAGCTGAATGTCTTGCTGTGGGCACCAGTTAACTTGGGTTGTTGGTAATCATAGAACTGGAAGGGACCTCGAGAGGATGCCCAGTTTGAATCCAGTCTAGATCAGTAGCCACTAAAAGGTCATGTTCATTTGACGGTTCGGTGGCCCATGTGAAGTGAGCTGATGGTTGAAGCCTAATTCCTAGAATACGTGTCCACATCTCAAAACCATTCCAAGGCCCATTTGCTAGCAGTTGGAGAAGAGAAGACAAAAGCCTTTCTTACTCTTTCACAGAATTCCCCCAGGTCAGAGGTGAAGGACTTGAGCTGGGCACAACCAGGGCTGTGTGGGAAAACTAGTGCCTCAGACTGTCCTTGTTCTTTTGATAGAGACGCAAAATCAGTCCATGGAGACAGCTTCATGCTGATGCCTTTAACTGGGTGACAGTTAAAGAAAGATGTGGAACCCCCCCAAACCTCTTATTGACAACACAAATAAGGGCTCCCATCCTGGGATCCTTCCCTATCACCATACAATATAACCCACGTGCCCAAGAGAGTCAGTTTGGGTCCCAGAGTGGTTTTCACTGCCTTCCTCACAAAGGCAAGAATGCAAAAGGGCTGGAGAAAACCACCCTGGCTATACAGGAGCCTCAGAGATCTGATGTACTCCTCAGGGGTTCCTCTGAGCAATATGCAAAGAGTGTGACAGAAAAAGTGCTTCCAAATGACATATATGGAGCACAGTTTACATCATTATGGGTCAGCCCGTGTACTATTTGATTGCCCAATGGCCATATACACTTGCTTATGTGTGTTTATTGCAGTTGAGAGTCTATCTGTGGGGTGCCTGTATTTTGGGTGGCTAGGTGTAAATACATACATTCAGGTCTCCAGGAACAGATGCAATTCCAATTAAGTAGGGTGCTTATATCCCATCTGTGTGCATGTGTAGTGTCCATGAGCTGATCTCAGTGAGCATTTGGGTGTCTGTGTGTTGGGTCTGTCTTTATCTTTATACACATTAACCATGCTTTATCTTTATACACAGTGAATTCACAGCTACTATACTTACTTGGAGAGGAGAATGACACAATTCTGAGCCCTTCGGCCATCAATAACAGAAAGCTCTTTAACCTTTCGTGTGGACAAATACAAGTCCTCAGTTGACCCCATCTCTTTCTGTAAGTAACCAGAGAGAAAAAATAATCAATGCCCTGTTTTTAATTCCTCTTCTCACTAGCCCACATCCACAGAACAAACCAAGTGTACTAAGCAAGAGCCTAGCCTAACCCGCTAGGGTGGAATTTGTGGGGAGATCCATTTAGGAAGCAGAATAGGAGATAGGAAGTGCCAGAAATCAACTTCTAGAGCAGGAAGGACTCAGGTAGACCGATTTTCACTCCAATTCACCAGTCAAACAAATGCCGATCACTAACTGTGCAGGGCCAGCCCAGCTTTCAAGGCTTTGGGCCTGACTATGATCTCATTCCCATGTAAGTCAGGACTAACTCCATCAACAGAGTTATACTGGTATAAAAACCAGTCTGAGAACAGAACCAGGTGCATTATAGTGCAATGCACATGTGTGTGTGTATCCCCAGGAACACAGTAGAGATTACCCAGTCGTATGGAAAGGTTGCATCCCAGCTGGAGACAGCTGGGCAAGAGTCCTTATATATTGTCTCTTATCTATCGAGTTCACCATTGGAACACAGGCCTGCCAAATTCCCATGGAGTGAGAGATGCCAAAAAACCACAGAGGAACAACATGATGAACAGGATCCCTGGAGTCAGTCGGTCGTACTCGCCACACAAAAATGTGGACCAAACCCACGTGGCTGTTCCGCAGGAACATGCCTCTGTGCTGTCTCAGTCAGATTCTCCAGAACAGGGAGGGCCAGACACTGACCCTGGAGAATTCCCTCTTAGGGGAATCTCCACGGGGGATGCTAGCAGAGGCAGCATAACCATCTCTTATGTCAGGTGCCTCCAGACCCCAGCATAAGGAAAAGGAAAGGGATGAGTCAGAGGCAGGAAGGGGCATGCTGGAGCAGATCAGCACTTGCTCTCATTCTCCACTGGAATCAGGGCTGCTAGGGAGCATATGCCAGCAGCAGAGTAGCTCTCCCTGGGGGCAGCTCTAGCTTCTGCCTGATAGCTGATAAGAGAATAAGAGGATAAGAGAACTGCAACCAGCTCCCTGCACTTGTCACTGTCTGCTAGTAATGGAGACACAAAGATAGAGTCTGTTCTCCTCTCAAAGGGCTTGAGTGACTCTGAATATGGTTAACAGAAGCTCTGTACAGGCATGTCTAGAACAGACCTTTTTAAAATGTTTCATCTGCAAACTACACGAAAGGCCCCAGTGAGTACGCTGCTCACATGGCAGAGAAATTACTGGGGTATCTATGTTACAGTTGGCCATAAGGATAAGGCTCCCACTGGGAAAATTTCCCTTTGGCTCGTGTGAAAATCCCAACCTAAGAAACTTGCCTTGTCTCATCCCTTGTTGTCCTTTAACATGCTGGAAAATATTGACCCAGTGGCTGAGGTTCTAATAGGACTTTATGGGAAGTGCATTTCCCAGAGAGTTGGTGACGAGGATTCACTAGAGGATAGCAGGGACTGAACTGCAGAAGCCTCTTTTGAAAGCTATGCCTTCCTCTGACGTGTTCTCTGCTTTGCTTTAATGTAAGGTGGCTGTAGTGTCATGAGTGAGCCGGAACTTCACTGCATGCGCACACACTTCCGTCTCTCCCTCCTGGTCTTTGAGGACTACAAGACTCCCACATAAAGCGGGTTGAACCAGACTCCTCTCCAGTCTACTTCTCTCTCTTCAATTGCCCTAAAGGGTCACTGTTGAATGACCTGGCACTTTCTCTCCAGTTCAAGCCTGAGCATCTTCTTCCTGCCCCACAGACAGACATTTTTCATGTTACTATCTTGCAGCTGGTGAAAAGGACATGAAGGGACAGGCCTGGCTACTGAAATCTTCTCCAATCTGGGTGTGGGCAGGGCAGTGTAAATTTTCCCCATAGTGCCTCCCACACTGAACGGCAGAAAGTATTGCCAAGGTGGAGGAGGAGTTCACATTCTGTGTTCCATTTGGTCCTTGCTTCTCTGCTAAAAAACAAGTCAACAAGGGGACCAAAAAGAGCAAGCCGCACTGAGGGGGTACCTATGATGTAATCACCTGGCAGTGGAAACCAGAGACCACATTTGTCACAGTTGAGTGGAAGGATGTTGCTTATATTCAGCTTCCTTCCACCCCAGATGAATGCAAGTATGGAGGTTTCTTGTACTTCCTCCTCACCCAGGCAGGAGCTTGTGAAAATTATTCACTAGAGGAGCACACAGCCCCTTATTTGCATGGGGCTGTGTTTGTCTTTGGTCTGTATGCTGTAGTAGTAGAATCTTGCAAGCCAACCATTTGTTTTTAGGGACCAGACAGTGGTACTCACCTGCTTACAGGAGGAGGGGTTAGTTAGCAGGTCCTATGCAGGCAGCAGCCGCAAATAACAGAGAAGGAAACATGCCAAACATTAGCCATGGAGATAAAGATATCAAGTTTAACAAAGAGGCAGATTTTAGCCATACACTGCTTTCTAAGAGAATACAATGATTTGCAAGTAACATAGGCCTAGATTGTGAAATGCATTGCTCTGCTCATTGAAAGTCAGTGGCACTTGGACCTTGACACATTGAGTGGAGCAACACGCACCTCAATACCTTTAAAAATAGGCCACAGTCCTTATCAAAAGAGCTGCCAAGGTTAACACTCCAGGCTCTGTTCTCCTGTCCTCATACCTGCACACAGCCTCCCATTATTAAACATAACTCATTATGCTTCTAGAGCAACTCCCATCTAAGGATCTGAAGGCACTTTACAAACTACTCAATAATTAAAGCGCATGATAATAATTAAATAATTAATAATAATTAAAACCCTTCTGCAGTTAGTATTATCCCCATTTTATAGATAGGCAATCTAAGACAAGGAGAGCTCAAGTGATTTAGTCAACATCATACAGTCAGTGACAGAATCAGAAGACAAGTCCAACAGACCCAACTCTCAGTGCATGCTCATCTACTGGATGCAACACCGCTGCTGCCTACACTTCCTGCAGGAGATACATGTGCCAAGGGAGGGGAGAACAGATCCTTTTGTCTTTAAAAAATCAAGAAGCAGTTTAAAAAATGAAACTGGAAAAATATTAAGACCATGTTAGTAGCAGTAAAAGAAAGAAATGCCTTATTTATACGCTCACTTTCTGCGATTTGCTTTGACATTTTTCTTTATAGATATTTGGATGAAATGTAAAAGTCATGAACCCAGAGTAAACACATAGTTGGCCAGAGCGGAGCATTCCTAACAGTAAAAGAGAAGAAAAGACCAAGTGTGAATTAACTGGAAAAGTTCTTATCAGATTTTAATTCATGAGGAACTTCGGTTGGTTGGTTTTAAAAACCTACAAGGGTTCTTGATTGGAATCCAGTTTGCACTGGGATGCATATAGGTGAAAAAGGAAGTATTACTTAAAGGAACAACAAAGGAATCATATATATAGTGGCCCAATGTCTGTGAAATGCTGCCATGTAGCACCCCCGTGCTGGATGGGGACTGCAGCACCCAAACGGCCACTTGTGCCGCCTGCTCCCCCGCGGCAGCTTGGCTGAGCGGTGCAGAAGTCAGCTGAGCGCCACGGCGGGAGAGGAAGGGAATGGGGCGGTGACGTACATGGCCAGGAGGCAGGGCCTGGCCATGTACGTCACTGCCCTGCCCCCCTTCTCCTCCCGCCGTGGCACTTGGCTGACTTCTGCGCCGCTCAGCCAGGCTGCCGTAGGGGAGCCCAAACAGCCACTTGCCCCCCCTCAGTGGCCCTGCTGAGTGGTGCAGTAGTCAGCCGAGTGCCATGGCAGAAGGCAAAGCGGGGTGGGACAGTGACGTGCGGCGTGACAGCAGCTCCAGGCCCTGCCCCCTGGCCATGAATGTCACCACCCTGCCCCCCTTCGCCTCCCACGCCGCTCAGCCAGGCTGCCGTAGGGGAGCCCAAACAGCCACTTGCCCCCCCTCAGTGGCCCTGCTGAGTGGTGCAGTAGTCAGCCGAGTGCCATGGCAGAAGGCAAAGCGGGGTGGGACAGTGACGTGCGGCGTGACAGCAGCTCCAGGCCCTGCCCCCTGGCCATGAATGTCACCACCCTGCCCCCCTTCGCCTCCCACCGTGGTGCTCTGCTGACTTCTGCGCCACTCAGCCGGGCCACCGCGGGGGAGCAAGCGGCTGTTTGGGCTCCCCCGTGGCGGCCAAACCCCAGGGTGGGGCGCAAAGGGGGACGGGGTGGTGACGTGCGGTGAGATAGAGGCTCCAGCCCTACCTCCTGGCTGTGAACGTCACCGCCCCACCCCCCTTTGCCCCCCCCAGGGGCACTCAGCTGACTTTTGTGCTGCTCAGCCAGGCCGCCACGTGGGAGAAAGTGGTGCAAGCGACCATTTGGGCTCCGTGCTCCCCATGCAGCATGCGGAACGCGGAGCCCAAACAGCCGTTTGGGTGCCACGATCCCCTGAGTGAGAGGCAGGAGGGGAAGGAGAAGAGAAAGAGAGAGACAGAGACAGAGGCAGGAGGGGGAGGAGAAGCAGGGCCAGACGGAGGCATGGGCGAGCCGGGCAGCTGCCCAGGGCACCAACCCATGGGGGGCGCCTGATGGCAGCTGTAAGGGGCGTGCGGCATCCCTGACAGCTGCCATCAGGAGCTGCATGCCCGGCTCCCGCAGCGCCAGCCCCACGGTGCCGGAAAGCAGCGCCCTTGCCCCTATGGCCATGGGGCCATGCATGGCCTGGCGCGTGCGGTAGCAGTGCTGGCTGGGCTGGGCTGCACCGCGCACGTGGTGTGCACCCCGGGGGTGGGCCACGGGCTGCGCACCAGCAGCTGTGGCCAGCGCGCATATGCGCCATGCGTCCTGGGGGCGGGCCCTGGGCTGCACAACAGCAGCTGTGGCCAGTGCTCACATGCGCCATGTGCCCCGGGGGCGGGCTTGCGCCAGCGCCCAGGGGCGGCGCCACACGCCCGGGCCCAGGGCACCAAAAGGGCTCAGGCCGGCCCTGAGGAGAAGAGAAAGAGAGAGGGGGGAGGCAGTAGGTGGAGGAGGAGAGAGAGACGGAGCGAGAGACCGGAGGCTCAGGAGAGAAGACCGACGTGGAGGAGAGACCTGAAAATCCCGCCTTATGATGGGCTAATTGGCTAGTACTAAAAGAAAAATGTATAAAACTGAACCCAGAGCTGGAATATAGTCTATAACCTTTAGTACAAAAACATACTCCGGTATTCTACACTAGTATATCTTACATCAGTGATGCTGCAGTGTCTGGGGCTATTGTTATAAAGCACTATAATAGTTTTATAAGGATCAAAAAGACCATTCTGAAACTCCTGGAGGTCACACTCAGAGGATGGCTCCATTCCAGTAGGGAAGGGTTAAGGTCAGGTTAGATTATGGTGGAACAGGCCAACTGCTTTTCAGTGGTTGGTAATGCAGCCATAAATATTATGTTTCTAACTAAGAGTTGGCAGACAAGGACAGCTTTGGCTTTCCATTTTGAGGCCCAAAGAAGGCAAGATTTTGGAAAGCCTTTCCTAGCAATGAAGCTCCAGTACTTACTTCTTGATGTCATGGTTTGATGCAATACCACTGCACTGGGATAGGGTCCTACTGCTATTATGGCTGCTAACACATACATAAGGCAACTTTGGTGATGTCCAGGGTTCCCCCCCACCAGCTGTGCTTTCTATAAATGCCTACAATCAGCATTGGACAAGGAACGAATTCAATGTACTTTAGACTTAGTCAATGGGATTCTTACTGAGGAGCAAATACCTTAGGGGATATTTTGGGGTTTTTCCTCATGCAAATAATCTGCATATTCTGAGCATCCCAAGATTACAAGAGTTCTGGTAGGTAATCCTAGCAACCCCATTGAAATGGCAAGATATTTGCACAGGTAGAATGAGGAATAAAGTGCAACATTTTAATCTTATAATGGAATCACAGAAGCTTCAAAGTTGGGATGCTTGTCTAGACAACCAGGGGGTAAGTAAATTTGAAGAGTTCTGCTCACCCTGTTTTTATGACAGCTGGAGATATTTTGCCTACTCATTGCTTCACTGGAAACAATTTGCCAATGCCTGATATCTAGTGTGGATTCAGTGGTACTGGATAAAAATGGAAAGGGAAGCCTCGACTAAACTCCTCATTTTGTGCCATTAAATAAGACTATGCACGATATTTGAATATAGTTATAATTTAACACTGGAGGAAAAATTAAACAAAGAGGAGTGAGAAAGGACAAAGCCAGCTAAGTCTCCATTAATAATTCTGTGGCACTATATGAGGCAACTTTTAAATGTCAAGATGGATTCTAGTTACCATTTCTGTGTCTGATTTCAAACTCAGGAGCAATAGCCTGATTCTAGTGCTGGAAGAACGTTTCCCTGAGTACATTCCAAATGCTACAGAAATCTGGTGATAAGAAGGGGAT